CCTCACATACCCTGCTCACATACGAAGTCTAAAACTACTAGTTCTTCTCACCGCTTATCCCCTCCCACTCCATCCCCCCCATCTCAAACCCCCTGCCTCAACCCTCCTGCTCCGGCCTCCTCTCCCTGCCCCCTCCCTCTCGCTTCCTCCTCTCTCCGCCCCTTCACTCATTCCCTCCCTCCCCCCCTGCTCCCCAATTCCTTTCTTCTCCCTTTCTCTTCCTCCTTCCCTCCTCCCCCTATCGTATCCCTCCCCTTTCCCGCCTATCTGTCCGCAGAGATCTGAGTCACAACAGTCTACAGAGCACCATGCCGTCGTTCCTCAGCCTGCTGGAGAATCTGAGGCGCCTGTGAGTCGGCGGCTTCAGAAGATTTAGAGGTTTGATGCCTGAGAGAAATGAGAGGCGTGAGTGGCCTGAGAGTCGGAAGATTGAAGGACAAAGTAATAGTACAACGGACCATTCGAGAGAGTACCAGTCAAAGTATTCCTGTTGAGAGTATTACTGTGCCAACTGATTCACACACCCCATTCTCACCAGCCACCCCTGCACCCTTGTCCACATGCCCTTGCACCCTCCCCTCATGCTCAAAAACCTTCTCCCATGTCCTTCCACACTTCTTCCGTGCCCTTACACCCTTCTAACATGCCTTTACACCCTTCAAACACGCCCTTACACCCTTCAAACATGCCCCTACACCCTTCAAACATGCCCTTACACCCTTCAAACAAACATGCCCTTACACCCTTCAAACATGCCCTTACACCCTTCAAACATGCCCTTACACCCTTCAAACATGCCCTTACACCCTTCAAACATGCCCTTACACCCTTCAAACATGCCCTTACACCCTTCTAACATGCCCTTACACCCTTCTAACATGCCCTTACACCCTTCAAACATGCCCTTACACCCTTCAAACATGCCCTTACACCCTTCAAACATGCCCTTACACCCTTCAAACATGCCCTTACACCCTTCTAACATGCCCTTACACCCTTCTAACATGCCCTTACACCCTTCTAACATGCCCTTACACCCTTTCCCCATGCCTTGACTCCCTCGTTCTTCAATGCCTTCCTATGTGCCAAGGTTTGGTTCACAAGCAACAGTTCGCTGATTCTAGATCCTAAGTTGGTCCCCTCCCTTGCGCCTTATCTTGGTGCTCTTCCCCTCCTTCCTCCCCCCCTGCATGCCCTTCCTCCCCCCCTGCATGCCCTTCCTCCCCCCTGCATGCCCTTCCTCCCTTAGAGCTCTGCTCTGCCCTGCTCCTCCTTGGACCTTCCATTAATGCTCTCCCAGGAATTGGAGCAACAGATGCGGATCCATTCAGAAATGACCTTTCAGTCAACTTAACCTTCATCTCTCCCCTCTCTGCAACCTTGCTTCGAACCATGCCAGGGATCTGAGCGACAGCTCCTTACAGGGACCCATTCCAGCCGGCCTCGGCATGCTTCCCAACCTGCGCTTCCTGTGAGTCTCACCTCTGCCTTTTGTCCTGTAACGCACACCTTCCCCTCCTGTTCAATCGACTCAAGAATCGAACTGCACTCCACTAGCCCAGCCACACGTCCGCCGTGTGTGGTTTCATCATTCATGCATACATCCTTCCTTGGACAATTGGATGCAGTGACCTATTGGTGTGTACGATTTAGAGTGTGCCCCGGTGGGTTGGTTAACATAAATCCGCTGTCCATTGGCCATAAATGCAGAGCAGATACAATCTGTTATCCAGTCCAGACTTTGCTGACTTCCAGACTTTGCTGACTTCCAGACTTTGCTGACTTCCAGACTTTGCTGACTTCCAGACTTTGCTGACTTCCAGACTTTTCTGCCTTCCAGACTTTGCTGACTTCCAGACTTTTCTGCCTTCCAGACTTTGCTGACTTCCAGAATTTTCTGCCTTCCAGACTTTGCTGACTTCCAGACTTTTCTGCCTTCCAGACTTTTCTGCCTTCCAGAATTTTCTGCCTTCCAGACTTTTCTGCCTTCCAGACTTTTCTGCCTTCCAGGCTTCGCTGCCTTCCATCTCTGCAGGCGAAACCCATAAACCCTTCCATCAGGCTGCCTTCGCTGCCTTCCAAACCCTTAAACTCTTCTCTGCAGTGGCTGCTGTCCAAAACTATCTGCTCCCCTTTGCCTGTTAATCAAAATTCTCTGGTTTCCCAATCGCTTTGCCTGACGGTCCTCTCTCCCGCAGGAACCTCTCGTCCAACCGGCTCAATTCGTCCATCCCTGCCTCCCTGGGTCGACTCAAATCACTCACCGCCCTGTAAGCGATTTTTGAGAAAGTTGTAAGAGTTTCCCCTACCTTGGTAGGTCGTGATGAACCACTCATTGTTCTGTAGGCGTCTCAATCCATCTTGGTTGAACCTCACCCATGGCAATAGCAGCTGCAACAAGCTGGAATGAAACAAAGATACTCCACTGACTGTGCGGGTTTTTGTTAAGGGTGGCATCACTGGTAAAATCGGAGACCCGTGAAACAAACATTGCCATCTCAACTTGCTCTGTTGTCCCCACCAGCTGTTCTCCAGTGCACCAAAACCACTCTCACCACCGTGCCGTTTTTGTTGCGGATTCTTAACTCGCATCCGCACTGCCACCGTACTTCTGTCATCTCCAGCGACCTGCACAACAACACCTTGACTGGTACCCTGCCTAGGAGCCTTGGCATGCTTCCACGCCTCAAGGACATGTAAGCCTGAAGCGAAACCAGGTGTGTTTTGGATCGCAACAATCACGTGTGAGCTTTTGAAAGGGAACTGCCGATCCTGGGTGCAAGACAACTCCTTGACAGGCCTCTTTCGTAGGAGCCTTGGCATGCGTTAATGCCTCAAGTATATGTAATCCTGGAAACCAGTTGTGTTTTGACCACGCTCTTTTCCCTGCAATCTGTTTCTAATAAGCTCTCACTTCACATATCCTTCCTGCTCTCTTCCCCACTCTCATTCCCCCTCTCTCTCACCCTCTCTTTCCCATACCTTTCCCCCTCTCTTTCACCCTCTCCCTCTCTTTCCCCTACCTTTCCCCCTCTCTTTCCCCTCCCTTTCCCCTTCTCTTTCCCCTTGTTACCACTCACTCAACGGAACTGTCTTCTTTCACATCTAAAATTCCAACCAACTCATGTTCGCGTCGTGTCAAAACTCCTCAGCTCTGCTTCTCCTCACCCTCTTTCCCACAGGGATATTTCTGACAACGCCTTCTCATCCTCCATCCCTTCAGCTCTCGGCTTTCTCACTCGGCTCACACGCCTGTAAGCAGACTGCTGCAACATGCAGCGAAAAACGCTCCTGAACAAAAAAAAGAAGAAAAGAGAGTAAAACCCTACCTAAGAGAAATTCGATTGCAAAAACTGCTTCACTCAAAGAGGACCACTGCAGCACTCGGATGATGAATTGACCAGCAGGATAGCAGCACACTGCATCGCACAGGGATGCTTTGAGTCGCACAGGGGTGCTTTGAGTCGCACAGGGATGCCTTGAGTCGCACAGGGATGCCTTGAGTCGCACAGGGATGCCTTGAGTCGCACAGGGCTGACTTGAGTCGCACATGACCTCTCAGTCTAGCGCACAACTGGAAGATTCTCATGTAGCTCTTAAGATTCTCCCCTTCTGGCTTCTCTTCCTCTATCTCTCCACCTCTCTCTCTGCCTGCGCACAGCAATCTCTCGAGCTGTTTCCTCGTCGGCACTGTTCCCGGCATGCTGAGCTATCTCACTGGCCTGCACACCCTGTGAGTCTCACCTTTTACAAGTGCTCTGCATGTTCACAGCAGCTTTAAGATCGTGTGTAGATTCAAATTCCGGTTGATATCACTCTTTATCTCCTGTGCGCAGCTATAAATCTTCATAAAAGGCACCGCTTCTCCAATCCTTGTGTCTAGGGGTGCAGCGACCTGAGCGGTTTAACACCCTGTTAAAAGAAACTACGTATCCGCCTTCTCAATGCTTACCAAACGGCACTGATTCTCCATTTCTTGTGTCTGCGAGTGCAGCGACCTGAGCTCCAACGCCCTGAATGGCTCGCTACCTCGCCTGCGAAGATACAACCACCTCACTCGCCTGTACGTGATGCACTCACCTCATAGCGTCCATTCCATTGGCTATTGTCACTCTCGTGATGCACATGACGACAACACCCATGTCAATGCACACCACCAAAGAGGCTCAGCCATGTCATCAGTACGTGAGGCACATCACCCATGCCGTGTGTACGTGAGGCACAGCACCCATGCCGTGCACAGCACCTGTGCCATTTGCCAGTGCCGCTCTTGTGACGCGCACCACCTCTGCACATCGCCCATGCCATCCTTTAGTGGCGTTGGCTGTTCGCACCTTCAGCATAGCCCCCTGTTGGTTTGGGCGCCCCAATCCTCCCTTCTCACCTCCTTCTGCGCCCTCAGAACACTCAGCCCTCACAACATTCTCTCTTTCTCGTGCTGCATACTTTCCTTCTGCCCACCCGCTTTCTCTCATCACACCTTGTCACTCTCAATGCCCCCCAACCCCCCCACAGGGACCTTAGTGCCAACGCCTTCCAAACATCTCAATCACCCTTCCTAACCCTCTCCTATCGTCCACTCTTGTTCTCATTTCACGCCCATCGTCACTCATCTTCACCATCTCCCCCCAACAGCGACCTCAGTGCCAATGCCTTCGAAGGCAATGTCTCTCGAGGGGTGGGCAAGCTTCTGCATCTGCAGCACCTGTGAGCGCTGTTCCACTCTCCTATCCTTCCCTCGTAACACCCAGTATATGGTAATTGCGTTTTTTCATTGTCCTGTTTGTTTCATTTGAAGCTTCACCTTGCACTCTTCACCAAGAACAGTTACTAGCTTGAATCAACAAAAAAAGACAATTTCCCAAGACTCTTTTCACTCATGGTTCCCCAGCACACTCAGAACAATTATTAAGAAAAGAGAGGGATGGAAAGATTCTTCGTCTTCCCAAACGCATCGTTCCCTCCACCGCCCTACCTATCTCTCCCCTTCCAATCTGCAGCGACCTGAGCAACAACCAGCTGAGCGGCTCTCTGCCTGAAGGCCTTGGGAGAATCTCCCTCCTCTCCCACCTGTTAGTCCCCTACCCTCCCAGCTCTCGGTTCCATTCTCTTTCACCTGTCTCCACTGCAACGTATCATAACCCATCGCACCTGTACCATTTGCATCACCCCATTCATGTCTGTGTCCTTAGTGCACTCAAAGCGCAACTATTTCATCCAGTATGTGTCCTTTGTGGTCCCAGACCACTATCTTTCAGCGGTACTTCTCGCCCTCCCTCTGCACAGTAATCCTTTTGGTCGTCCATATCTGTTCAGCATTCCTTCTCCCTCCTCTCTTTCAGCTCCCAGTGACCTCAGTACACTTTTCGTTGTTTAATTAGCCCTCGCTCTCACTTGCTCATTCATTCCCCCTTTTACTCCTACGCTATCCAGTGACATCAGTGACAACTTGTTGAATGGCACTCTGCTTCACGAATTGGACCAACTCACTGCCCTTACAAGCCTGTGAGTGACTCACTACTCTAAGAAGCCTGTCTTGCAAGAATTTGAGTAACTTAGTACCTCTGCAGTCCCGGAAATATTCCATTAACGTGATCTCCCTCTGCCCCTCGCAAGTTGCAGTGCTGCAATCACATCCCCTTCTGTACCCTCTCTAATGGCCCTTTCATTGATAGTCAAAGCGTACAGACATGCAAGGTACAAGTCAACGCAAAGGTGGGGCTAGTACTGCCTATACTTGCTATTCTCTCATCTTGCTCTGCGCCCTCTAAGTGAGATCCAGTGATGGATCAAGAACCGCGAGGCAGTCCCCAAGGGACGGGGCCTCACCCACTGCTTCTAGTAGCGGGTTTTCAACTGCTGCTGCTATGTTGCACTTATCCAGGTACCCAATCGACTGCCCACGTTGAAGAGCCACTGACCACCGCTGCCGGTATTGGTGTAAGAGCTTGGCAGCTTGGTAGGAGGTGGGCTCGGCGTTGAAAAACCGCCGTGCAGCCGTTTCTGCGAGTAGTTTCAGGAAGTCTACTGACTTTGGGCAGGGACACCCGTATGTTTCGATCGACCGCTAGTGGGAAGAACTTCACCCACTCTGGGCGGTCCTTGTAAAGGCCGTGTTTCTTATCTGCTGCCTCTCGTGCCGCCCACCCCCTCCCCTTGGTGGCGTTCCCATCGCGGGTGCTGATGGGGTCCGTTATCGTCACATCGCAGATGTAGACGGCGCCAGTAGAGCGGCAGCATAAGGCCAGGTCTGCCTTCTTCTCCTCCACTGGGCTGAAGGCGGCCGTCTCGATGTGCACCATGAAGCCTGCATCTTGCGCCATCCGCGCGCACTCATCTCTGAGTTCATTGTGTGTGTTTGTGCGCCCCCCCCCTGTTCCGCACCGAAGCAGGTGATTCGGGAGCCGCTTATCCAGGATCTCCACCTTCTTGGAGCAGTTGCAAACCCCTGGAGCCGCAAAGGGGAGCCCTAGCCGAAACTGGAGCGCGTTGGCATAGTGGGGAGCCTCAAGGCGGAGCGAGGAGTGGATGGGCACTGCGTTTAACCAATCCCCCGCCCCATACCCTGATAGGGACAGCATCCGCTGCGTGTGATCGTTGTTGGGGTTCGGGCTCATCCCCCGCACCTCCTCCACCTGCACGGCATAGCGCTGGCCCTGGATGGCCGTGGCCAGCCCGTGCTGTAGTTTCCCTGCAGTTGGAGCCGATCTCTCAGCCTGAAGAGCTTCTTGGGCTGGAAGCGGCAGTTCCCCTTCACATTCCGCAAGCCATTCGGACAAGGGGCCACGCATCAGCTCGCGCGTGACTTCCAGTGGGCCGGTGCACTCGCTGTCCAGGGAGTCAAGCAGCAGCTGCGCCTGCGTGTAGCTGGCGAGGAAGCTGTAGCTTCCCTCTACTGATGGGTCCGTCAACCCAAGGCCGCCGAGCGACACGGGGAGTGAGGCTTGCGCCCACGTGCGTGAAATCTCCTCGTCCCCACGAGGGTGATTGATGGCGCATGCTGTTAGCAGTGTTTCCAGCAGCCTCCGTCCCCACTCAGACCACTCCTCCTTTGGTAGGAAAGGCAGTGGGGTTGTGCGGGCTAGGTATGACACTCGGCGGGAGATACACCGGGAAAGCAGCAGTCCCACCAGCTGTGGCTCCATCCGCTCAATCAATCCCAGCGGTGCGCCCATCGCCTCCAGGCTGGACCGTATGAAGCCAGTGGTTGCCGTGGAGGTGCCAATGTAGCTGCCCAGCACCTTCAATCCGTCACTGCTGGGAGGGACCCCCTCTGGCAGGCGGTAGTCCGTGGGCGTCCTGCCTGCCCAAGCCCCGCACTTGGCAGGATTGTGGCTGAGCCCGATTTCTGCCAGGCGGCCCGTGAAGTGTGTAAAAGCAGCTGCACATGATGACGGTTCTCCCAGGAAGGTCACGTCGTCCGCATAGGCCAGGCAGATGACCTCGGGGTGAGCCTCCGCTGCTGCTCTCAAAGCTGGTTGCATGGCCGCGGCAAAAAGAAGGGGGCCGAGGGGGTCTCCCTGGCGGACCCCTGTTTCACTGAGCAGGGGTGGGTGGGCGAAGGCTGCATCCAGGTGCAGCGTGGAGGGTTGGCCGTACGAGAAATGCACCAACGGCAGCAGCGGTTCTAGCTGCGATCCTTTCAAGGCCGTCGCTATGGCGTGGCGGCTGACACTATTGAACGCATTGGCCAGGTCGGCCTGTAACACCAGGGCATCCTGGTTGGCCGCTGTGTAGGTCCGGACAACATGTATGACTGCTTCTGCTCCCCCTGGCACGGCTACCCCGAACTGTAAAGGTAAGAAATACTCTCGTGCTGCATCCGCTACCTGAGTAAGTGCTGCCTTAGCTGCTAAACGCAGGATGCACTCCCCTATGGCAATCGGTCTCGTTCCTCCATGCAGAGGCTGACCCCATTCATGCCATGCCACCACTCATCACTCCCTCCGTCCATCCCTCCCACCATACCATCCATCCCGCCTTGCCATGACCACTTCCAGCAATCTGGCCAGCAACGCCATCAACGGCTCCATCCCTGAATCTCTGGGAAACCTCACCAACCTCGTCTCTCTGTATGCACCTACACCAAAGAAATATACAGAAACTGGAAAAAACAAAAACATTGATGTGGGTCGTGGGGAGACAAAATGCGCATTGAAAATGGAACATGGGGTGTGAGGAGGGTGCCTACAGAGATATGAGGTTTCTGCTTTATATCTACAAAATTGCTGCCTCTGAAACGAAAGAATGTAGCTTATGAGAGATTCTGCATAGGAAAAATAACAAAGGCGAGGGGTCAGCCTCTGCATTTTTGTCGGATGGAGTGGGAAATGTGGTGTTGATTTGAGTGCAACTTCATGTCCTCCTCTTAATCCATCCATGCGGCCCCTTGTCACCTGCCACTCGTAAAATTCCATGCAGCAACTTCACAATGAATCTGCTCAATGGATCCATTCCATCGTCCTTTGGTGAATTCGCCCACCTCCTCTATTTGTGAGTCTTCGACAACTCCTCTACTTGTGGTCATCTACAAAACCCATCTCTCTTCTCTATTTGCAAGTATACCACACGTCTAGTGTCCTCGAAGAACCTTCTTGTCTATGGTGTTCTCATCTTCCACAGCTTATTTTGAAGGAACCGACACACCACCTCCATGGCAACAACCATGGAATCTGAAAAAAAGACTCCTTGTTCCTGCTTGGTGCTTTCCCTGGCCGTTGCAAAATGGCATGTCTTACAGTGTTTCCTTGCGATTTCTTCCTGCTCGTGCCATCAACTGCAACAATTATCTGCATCAGATTTTGAGCGTTTCCCTGATCCTCTTCCTTTGTCACTTTCGCCTCTTTGCTCACCCACCACCAGTGACGTCAGCTACAATGGCCTCAACGGGTCGCTGCCAGACTCCTTCAGCCGACTTTCCGCGCTCAAGAACCTGTAGGCACTCAAGAACCTGTAGGCACTCAAGAACCTGTAGGCACTCAAGCACCTGTAGGCACTCAAGCACCTGTAGGCACTCAAGCACCTGTAGGTGTACCCTAGGATTTAGACAAGCATCGCATGAAATTCTTGATGCCGTTGTCTTTGCTGGTTCTTGTGTCCCTTGCTCTCTTGCACAGCCAAGAATTGTTGATGCCATTTCATTGGTCGGTTCTTGTATGCCCTTCCCTTCTTGCAGGCAAGTCGCCAACAACCAGCTGAACCAGACACTCCCTGCCAGTTTGAGCAATCTCATCAGTCTCACCAATCTGTGAGCAGGGCAGCAGCATGGAAGGGTCCCATTCATCATTCAACTCAAACCTTTCATTCCTTTTCTGGTTGTATCACCGTTATCATTTATGTCCCCCTTAGTCACCACATTGCTTAGCCTCACTCACCAGTGTACCTGAGTGTCTTTCACAGTTCATTCGCTTCTACCCCACAGCCCTACCCTCCCCCAGCAACATGCCCATTAATCTCATCAACCACACACAATATCACCTCCACCTGTATGCTTCAACTACCTTCCCTTCGGTTCCTTGTTTGCCTTGTTTACATGTTCCTCCAGCAACATCTCCATCAACTTCATTAACGGCACTTTCCCTGCTGCCATTAGCTCCCTCACCAACCTTGTTGCTCTGTCAGTCGCCTCCCCTCCTCCACCATTTTATGCATCCGTCTGCTTATAATCCATTGAATCATCCCATATGCGTGCCTGCCTCCATCGTTTGAAAGTTCTCCATCCACCTGTACTCCTGGGCGGTTTGTGTTGCTATCATATGAAGAGACTAGTGTTGAAGTTCTTTAGAATTTTTGAAAGAAAATGCAGTACTGCAGTTACAAGTTTCAAGCCAATTACACATCGAAATGCTTGCAAATGTCTGTGCCCTCCTGTGCTCTCTCACACCGGTGACGGCTGCAGAGATGTTCACTTCAACAGCATTAACTGCGCGTTCCCATCTCACATCAGCACTCTCACCAAGCTCACATGGCTGTAAGCCTCCACTCCACTATCCCTCTACACAGGTGATGTAATAAGCTCTTCTGTCAGAAGGCCGGTGAATATATCCCTCGCATGATTCTCGCTGATGAACCTGTTATGAACTTTGAAACGTCCCTAAAGTGCCGTTTCACATAATATCCCTATACATCAGCGCTGCAACGCTCCTTCCCCTTGTGACAGATTCTGCTTCCATATCACAGCCATGCCTCACGGCCTTTCTGTTGTGTTTCCTCATCCCCTGCACGTCTGCCAGCCACATGAACGACAACAGACCGTTCTGGGTTCGCTTATGCCACTCCATACCATACCAAACCGTTCCGTATATGCTGTTGTGCTTCCCCACCCCATGCACCTCCGCCAGTGACATGAGCGACAACAAATTCTGGGGTCCCATTGGAGAGTCCATCGGCACACTCACTAACCTTGAGTTCATGTGAGCCAATCTGTACCATGCTGTGCTTGAAAACCCTAAACTTGTAAGTCCATGCAGCGTTACCTGTACACCAATCGTCTCTGTTTGAGCACTCACCGTGCCTCGTCGTTGTCACTGCAGGAGTGTGGCGTGGAGCCCGTACCCTGATGCCGCCACAGCCATCAATGGTTCCATCCCCTCCAGCATTGGCAACCTCCTCAACCTCAGATACCTGTGAGCGCGCACACAACCTTCTCCATCTCAAATACACTTGAACGCTCACACACAACCTCAACCTCAATCCTCAAGTACATTTGAGCTGTGGAACATGATTATTGCGGAGTATTTATGGATTACCATCTGTGTAGTCTAGCATTGCAACATTCTATGAGTTTTAGGGTGACCCGTACGCCACAAAAAGCTTCCAAGTTCATAACTGTAGCATATGAGACCTAATTGAATTGACTCACAGTTCATCTACCAGCGAGTGAATAATCATAAGAGGTGTACACATGTATGCATGTAGCCACTGCCCACCCGCAACTGCCACCATGCCCATTGTCCATTTCCCATTGCCCACTGCCCACTGCCCACTGGCCACTGCCTACTGCCCCTGCCCATTGCCGCAATTTCCAGACATCTCAAAACCCATCTCGCTTTGTCACCCTCTCTTCCAACCGTGCAGGAACCTGGGTGGCAATAAAATCAATGGCAGCATTCCCGAGACCATCACTAAGCTGAAGAAGCTCGAACTCTTGTAAGTCTCTGCGCCTAGCCCTTCATCTCCCTCCCTCTTGTCGCATGGTGAGGTGACTCGTCCACTTGAAATCTTTGATGTTTGGCAGTCTTCTCTCTATACTTACATACTGTGTGCCTTCTGCTCCAGATTTTAGGCTTACTGAAGATAGTTCTGCTAAGAAACACTGAGACGTTGCCTTCTTCTGCCACTTTTTCTGTCTTCCTCTGCTCTCCCACGCTTTCCCGCATCAGCTCTTCTATCCACATCGCTCGCTTAATCATGCACTAAAATTGCCCCTCTTCATCCCCTTATGTGCTCTGACAATCCCACCCTCCCCTTGCGCAGCTCTGTGGCGTTCAACAAGATGAATTCAGATTTACCAGACTTCCTGTCCGAGCTCACAGCACTCACAGACATGTAAGAAGAACAGGTCCATCAGCACAAGTTAACCACTCACTTTCTTCCACTTTTGAGGAGCCTCAAAAGCATGTCCGAGCTCACAGCATTCACAGACATGTACGGAGAAAGATTAAAGCACCACCCTACCATAGCGGTCTGGCCTCATGTGTCTGTTCTGAATCAAAGAATCATAATGCAGGTTTTTTTCTTAGAAGTCTCACAGCTTGAAGTTTGGGTTTCTGCTAGTTTTACTCCCATCCCTTCCAGTAGACTGTGCTTATTTTCTCCCGAACATTGTGCAGGATGGGATGTATGTGGAGAAGGAACTCAAAGATTCATTGTCCCCCTGCCACTCCTCCTTTTCCTGTTCCTGCCCCTCTTCTCCTGCCACTAATCTCCTGCCAATATTTACCTGCCTCTCTTTTCTGTAACACCAACAGGGCTTTCCGTAGCAATGCACTCACAGGTTCCATCCCCACCAGCTTCGGCACTCTCTCCAACCTGCAGCGAATGTGAGTCTTGTGTGTGACCGGCTGACGTGAGTGTGGGTTGTGGGTGCTTCAGTAGCTTTTTGGTTTTGTGTTTGTATGCTGATCGTCGTGTGTGTTGCTCACTATTTGTTTCTCACTCACTATATGTGTTCCCCTTTGTGAGTGTTTCTCATCATGTATGCTCCCCATGATGTGTGTTCCCCTTTGTGTTTTCACCTTTGTGTGTGTTGCCCATTTTGCATGATCTCCGTTATGTGTGTTGCCCTCTACATGCATCCCTGACAACAGGGAGCTGAGTTACAACCAGCTCAACGGCAGTGTGCCGGTCTCCTTGGCGAACCTGCACAACCTCACAGAGCTGTAAGCCCAGGCTCCCCCTCCCAGGTATATGCACTGATTTCATCTATTACCGTGCGTGTGTATACATTGTACGTATTCCACAAATCTATCCATGAAAGCCACCAGATAGGTTCGAGGCAAGCAGCTGAACGACACTATTTCCTCCTTAATTTGAGTTTTGGGACCCCTCAAAACTCATGCACACTTTCACACATACATTCTCCCTGAATCCCACCCATCAGGTGGCTGCGAGACAACCAGCTCAACGGCACCATCCCCACCTTACTCGGAAAGCTCACCAACCTCGTTGCCCTGTGGGTGCCTCTTTTCCCAGTGCGTGCATAATGCCGCTGAATACCGCTTTCTGCACTCCATTGCAAACCAGTGCACTCCATTTATAACCAGTGCACTCCATTTATAACCAGTGCACTCCATTGCAAATCAGTGCACTCCATTGCAAACTAGTGCACATCTCATGCCATAAAACGCCAATCCACGCTGTCTCATGGACGCAGAACTACCTTCCCTTCAGATTGCGCCTCCAGGGATCACACGAACTGCTCCACGAACTACATCGGGGATGTGAATGACAGGAACGGCACCATCCCCGCCTCCACTTACCGCCCGCTGCATTGCACTGCCCCACCTTGCTGTCCTTTTCTTTGACAGCCTGCAGGAATATGAAGAAGAGCAACATGAATGGCACCATCCCTGCCTCCACTCACCGCCCTCTGCAGTGCACTGCCCACCCCCCCCTCCATTTCCTTGCTACCCTTTTCTTTGCTTGGCTGCAGGGATCTGAAGAACAACGACATGAACGGCACCATCCCTGCCTCCCTCTTCAACCTCACGAGGCTCACCAAACTGTCAGTGCCGCCCCCCCACCATAATTTCCATGCTGCACACACATAGCACATGCAGCGCACACAGTGCACACACTGCAGACAGTGCAGACAGTGCATGGTAACAACACACACCTCTCAAACGGTACTTCATAGTATGTTGGCCTTTAGGCACATGCAAGCAAGCAAAAACAGAGGCGGGCAGCTGCTGACTAAAACCAGCATTCCCTTCGTATACACAGTCTGCGTGAACTGAGATAAATATTCAGACACGTCTCTCCCTCCTTTAATGTGTGGTTTGGTGCAGTGACTTAAACTCCAATGGCTTCACAGGCCCACTGGCCTCTGGCATTGGGAGGCTCATCAACCTTCGTTTTCTGTAAGTCATCGAAATCCTCTCGACGATTTTGGACTGTAAAAATTGTAGCACTTGCCAATGATGTTCATGTGTTCCTTACGGCTCTCATCATACACGTGTGCGTGCTATGCACGTACGTAGTCCTTGGGTTAAAACACTTGTGCTGTTTTCATGTGACACCTATCACCCTGGAGGTTTGTTAAAAATTTCTTGCAACGGATTCCATGATAGTTACTGTATAACAGATTGCGTAAAACAACTACAATCGATAATTGTTACTACAATATTGCCGTTCACACGTCGCGTTTGCACATAGGTTAATTTATAACATTTCACGTATAAAAGCTACAGGTACCAGTATAGCATAAACACTGTAGCAGTCTACTTATTCTGGATCCCAGTCCAAAATTATTCATTCTTCTAACTTCCACTTTCCTTCCCTCCTCAGCGATATGAGCAGCTGCCAGCTCGCAGGGTCTCTCCCAGCCACCATCGGAAGGCTCACCAATCTGACAGAAATGTGAGTGTCTCCTGTCAACTCCCCTTTGTGTGAGACATGTTCTCATCTTCTCATCCTCGTACACAGATGAAATGAGGAAAGATACGGGGATAAAGAAATTCGATTTCCATTCTCTTCCTCATGCGCAAGGAAATGTATAGACGCCTCTAAATCTGCCCATAGGATCAAACCTGATGTGCTGCGCCCATAGCCAGCTCACTCTTGACTACAGCAATTTTCATTCTCTCTCATTTCCGTTCTCCTTCCTTGTCATGCCTGTTCAGGTGGCTGGCAGACAACTATTTCAACGGCTCCGTGCCCGATTCTTGGAGCTCCCTCACACAGCTGCGCGCACTGTGAGTGCTGCTCTCAGAAATGGGCCTCTTTCGGGATATTATCATGTGAGTGTGGCTTGTATTGGCATTTGATGAGAAATCCTTCGACTCATGGAGCTACCTCACACAGCTGCTTGCACTGTGAGTGCTGCTTTGAGGCCTATATCTGTAAGATGGTTTCTGTTACCAGCGATATGTGAGTGCTACCAGCGGAATGTGGGTGCTGCTCTCAGGCTCCCATTATGTGAGTGTGGATTGTATTGGCACTCTGGTCTGCAGTAGCTTCTCCATGGCTGTTGGTGTTTTTGTGTGAGATTACAGGCCTGTCCTCACACCCTGCCACCGCTGCTATCACAATAAAGTGGCACTCCTCCCTAACACCATATCAAGGCTTCCGTTGGGTGATGCACATTGCGATGTGCATCAAGTCTATTCCTTTCATCCTCTTGCGTACTTACTTCCTATCCGTCTACCTGCCTCCCTCGCACTGACCCATGCTCCTCGAGGCGCCTCTGAATCAAGTCTTTCCCTTGTGTGATGCACACTGCCATCTGCATCAAGTATTTTCTTTTCCTCCACTTGAATTCTTTCCTCTGTCTCACACTGTCTCCCTCCTCACACTCCTCTAACCATGGCGTACCGTCCCTTCATCAAGCCTTTTCCTGTCTCTCCCTTCTGCTCTCCGCAGTGGCATCGCGGACAATGCTCTCTCCGGCACTGTCCCAGCAGCATTCCTCAAACTCAAGAGCCTCAATCAGCTGTGAGCCTCCATATATGTATTATGCATAACAGAAGTGATAGACGTCCTGGGATCCCTTTTGATTCTGCATGCTTCATTGGCAAACGCCAACCCTTACTTGCAACTGCGAGCCTTCGTTGGTTTCCAAATCACCTTCAAGCCCCTGTCCCAAATCACCTTCAAGCCCCTGTCCCAAATCACCTTCAAGCCCCTGTCCCAAATCACCTTCAAGCCCCTGTCCCAAATCACCTTCAAGCCCCTGTCCCAAATCACCTTCAAGCCCCTGTCCCAAATCTGAAGATGATACCCTGTACTGCTTCTGAAGTGCCCATGGTGTGCCAATTTGACAAGCATGCAGACATTTGCATCATCCAGTCATTTATTGTGTCAATGATGGTTGCAAATTTCATTGGACCTTCACTTCATGTGTGATGGTCATGTCCTGTAAATTGCTGTAATTATGATTTGTGGCACGATTCAGTACAAGAAAATTCCGGTAGTTTACCGCAATTAGATGCCTACTTATACCAATTTTCAAGATATAACCTAAAGCTCCGATATTTTGAATACTCCTGCAGGCACTTCTGCAACAACTTCTTCCATGGATCCCTCCCGACAGGGCTCTTTCAACTCACCAATCTCACTGATCTGTATGCCTCTATCAGAGTTTTTTTGTATAAATCTAACTTGCCATGAGATATTTATCTTTGTGAATATCTAACAATCATGGATCACCATTCTGTATGGATTTTTGCTGCTTTGCTGCTCTGGCATTCATTGTCTGACGTTCCCATGTGTTGGCCTTTGCTTTCCAGAAACTTTGGCAATACATCCTTGTCGGGACCGATACCTTCGGAAATCAGCAGTCTTGTGCAGCTGGTGATGACGTAAGCTTGGTAACTTGTATCCTCCACACACACACACACACCCACACACACACACACAATAAAACGCACACACACTCACAACAATCGTTAAATATGTCCCCTCTGTGCCTTTCTTTGAGCTCATCCCATGCAGCAATGGCAACATGGCCAACTTCAGTGGACCCGTGCCGGAGACCATCACCCAAATGAAGACCCTCGTGAAATTGTGAGTGCGCTTGTCATAGTTGATTTACCTGAGAAGAAATGATATTAAATGTAGCACCAACATTGCCCACTTCAGTCTGCTCGTTCAGGATAACGTCACACAACTCAACAGCCTGGTCGGAGTGGTGCCTGGGTGCACTTGATCGGAGTGTGTGTGTTCGGATTGACAAGAAGCAACTGAGGCACGATTGAAAACCGAACTTGACAGGAGTGGCCCCGCTCGTGCAAAACCCTTGCTTAACTTCCCACCAATGGAACTGGCAGAGATTTGGGCAACAACCGCTTGAGTGGGCCGATTCCTTCTGGCTTTGCAAACCTTACTGGCCTGACAACACTGTAAGTGCTTATGATCACCTCAGCCTATTTGTTTCTTCACCTTGGGCGTGCACACATGTTTCATCCATTCCTGCCGCACAGATTTTGCACCTCGTCAGTTTTCTGATTGATTTTGCCAGTGTCTAACTTTCCCCGGTTTTCTTTTCTGTTTATTTGTTGCCTGTGTGCGCCATTCTTGCAGCATTCTTGGCAACAACAGCCTCTCGGGTGACATACCCGTTGAGCTGGGCCAGAGCCCTGTCCTCAAGCACCTGTGAGCACTCACGCACCTGTGAGCACTCACGCACCAGTGAGCACTCAAGAAGCTGTGAGCACTCAAGCACAAACGCCTGTGCACGCAACTGCTACTTCTTCTCTTTCATTTTCTTCATATTCTTTGCCCTCTATTCCCTCCTTCTGTGCCAAATCATCCCATCTTCAGCGGTCTTGGCAGCAACTACCTGAAAGGATCCTTCCCTGAAAGCTTTGCTAAGCTTACCTGCCTCACCACCCTGTGAGTGCTCTCACAGCTAAACAAAAACCGCAAGTCATAAAGCCAGCCAGGCCACTTTTCCTTTCAGGATTTTTAGCCTTTTCATATGTAAATCAGCCAGAGCGATGCCCCTAGGAGCACACGAGGCAAGTACGTGGGCCAATGCCATATCAAGCCATGCAGGTGGTACTACTTGTTAGTGTTAGCCCTCAATCGCACACTTTGTACTTTATATTTTCTATATCCTAGAGTAGTGTAGTTTGCACTTTGTGTTTGGTTGGGTGTACACCTACATCCCAACCAAACCCAAATGTAATCTCCAAGCAATCTCCAACCCACCAATTGGAGATTGCCTTGGGATTACCCCCAATCCCTAGGGATTGCCCCCGATTCCCTTCCCATCCATTCCTTGCCCTTCTTGGATGTACTTATAGAGCTTCAAGCTCATTACTAATGTATCAGTTCTAAGCCTAAGTTCTGACACTACTAGCCTGTGAGCAATTTGGAAGTGAAAGCTTCAGTGTGGTATCACCACTCTTAATCGCTTTGTCCCACGGCGTGGCACCTGCAGGGATCTGAGCAACAACTCCCTCTCTGGCTCCCTTCCTACCTCTATCAGCGCTCTCACCTCCCTCACCATCCTGTCAGTCCCCGTGTTTCACCCTTCCTGCTCCCTTCCTGCTCCTTTGATCTTCCTCTTTCTGAACACCTCTGGTTTGAAGGAAATTGCATGTGCTTACGTTTCAATAAATGTCACCACACATTTCTGCTGCTGCTGATGCTGATGCCGCTGCTACTGTCCCGTGGCACCACACGGCCCGTTATAAACAATAATTAAATGCTTGATATGGAATGGTGTGTGTGCGGCATGTTATGCATGCTGCGGTATGATGCATGCATGGCTGTGAATGGTCACATGGCAGGTATTTGCACAACAACTTCTTTGAGGGGTCACTCCCCAACCTCCCATATAACGTATCAATAGTGTACGGGCCTCAGAACATGCTTGCCACACCATTGTTTCTCTGTGCAATCACAGCATTCTTACTGCTCTATTCGGTTTGCTCGCCTCCAGACCACATTCGCTCCAGTTCATGCTGTTTATCTTATGTTTATGGAGTACGTTGGGCATAATATGCATGTATACATATAGAATCCCAATCCCTATTCCTAATGCTGTCTGTTATTGTCTGTGTGCCGCTGGAGTTTACAGCGATCTCAGCAGAAACAGTTTCACGGGAGGCTTCCCACAGAACACAGCACAGTTCAGCAGCCTTGCCACATTGTAAGGGCACTTCCAAACATGCACTCTAACAAAAACACTCTTATACACGAACTCCCACAGGTTAGCCCCTCATCATGTGCATCTATCTGGATTAACTCCATTCATCCCCCTCTTGTCTGCAGGAACATTAGCAGCAACAGGCTATCTGGCACGCTGCCTGCGGAGCTAAGCCGTCTAGTGGCCCTTACATCCCTGTACGTGCCACTGCAGTCCCAAGAAACAAGAAAGTAAATCTTTTTGGAGACGTCTCAAAAACATCTTTTCTGCATGCATGTATCCGCACAAGCTCTATCTTGTCCTTAAAACTTCTCCCACCTTGTTTTGCACCTGCTTCTACACCTCCCATCCCTCCGCTAAGCAGCAACACGAGTGGAAACCAGTTCTCAGGCTCCCTTCCGCCTTCCATTCAAGCCCTCAAGCGCCTTAACTTCCTGTGAGACCACTCGTTTCCCGCATTCACAAGACCACTCCATCCACGTGGCGTCATATGTCTGGCTGGCCGTTGCTTGCACACGTGGCTTTCAAATCCCACTAGCACCTCTGGAATCCTGTGTTCTCCATCCTTGGATTCCTGACGTCAAACAGCGTCGACCTTGCTACCTCCATATTTCTGTGGTCCTCGCCCATATCTGGATCTCCACGTGGCATGCTGTCATTGGCAGGGATCTGAGTGGCAACTCTCTCAGTGGAAGCATTCCAGACTTTCTGAGTGCGCTAGTGCTGATGCAGAGGCTGTGAGTGCACAATCTCTCATAGGCTCATAGGGGGGTAACCCAGAGAGGTTAAAAATGCCACAGGTTCTGTCGTGGGGGATTGGGTGTGCTTTTGACCCACCAATTTAACAGTCTCTGTAACCAAACCGGGTCGTGGACTGGTGTATCCAACACGAGCCTTTTCTCTCCATAGGTTGTGAGCATGTGATATACGCATAAGGATTTTTTTCTAGGGGCACCTCAAAAATCGTTTTGAGGAGGCTTGTGAGTGAGTCAATGCTCATTGCCACCACCACCATACCATACGGCTACCACGTTCAAGACGTCTTAAAGCCAAGGAACATAGTCACCTCACCACCACCGTACGGCTACCATATTCAAGACGTCTTAAAGCCCACCACCGCCCCCACCATACTGCTGCCGCTCGTCATTCCCTTTCACCACAACCACACCACATGCCACCACTGCTGCCACTCTTCTTGCCATTTGCTGCTCACCCTGCTGACATGCCCTCTTCCTTCTACCTTTGTACTGTTGCGTACACAGCAATCTCAGCACCAACTCGCTCTCTGACACTGTCACTGCATCCCTGGGAGCTCTGGCACAGTTGACCTGCCTGTAAGGGTCACTTACTAGCAAAGCTAAATACTTTGTGGCCTTAACATGCGGAGAACATAGAACCATGGAAGGAAAGGTTTTCAGCAAATGGGATGTATGCAACAGCTGGTAGCTGTTGGCAGTCCATGAATTGGATGTTGTGAAAGTATAAACTTCACATCTTAAACACGTTTCCAACTGGTGCATCAACCTGCTAGGAAAAAAACTGCACTGTAATAATTCATAGTGGTGACAAGTAAGCAGGGCCCGGGTCAGCAGATACTTCAGCCTCCAGAGCACGTTGTTGAAAAGATGCGATCGTGATGCACAATATAAGAAAACATCATCTTTTCATGTCAACAGGTTTGAGCCAAACTCCACTGTTCAAGATAGAATTTGTACATGATGGATCCACGTCATTCCTCTTAGTCAAGTTCCAGCCATTCACATGCCTCTTAATCTCCTTTGCTTACTGCACCTTTGTTTCCCTGCCCCACCATCCCTCTCCTCCTCACCCCCGCTTACCATTCCTGTCTCGTCTCTCCGCTCCTTGTCACAGTGATGTCAGCAGCAACCAGCTCTCCGGGTCCATCCCATCTGCCTTTGGCAGTCTTACCATGCTCATGCACATGTGAGTTCTCAGCATGCGGGTGTTGCATGCTCGTGCACGTGTGAGGTCAATGTGTGGTGTGATTTGTGGTAGGTGATGCACGTTCATGCACAGGCAGGTGGTCATTTGCAACAACGTGTGACAAAACATATCCTTTCGATGAAGTCCACTCTCAGTCTATTCACACACCCATATCATAGCCATGTAACCTTTTTCAACAACACTTATGCCACAACCCCTCCCTGTTCCTTGCAGGGACATGAGTCGCAACGGCATCTCAGAATCTATCCCCGCTAGCGTCAGCCGTCTCACAGCCCTCACCTCCCTGTACGTTCAGACTGTTTTATCCGAATGAACTCATCCAGAGAAGGTCGTCCAGATAGGATCATCCAGATAGGATCATCCAGATCACCCCTGTTTCCGGCGTCTCCCTATATGTTGGTATCACAGCCTTTCGATCAGCTGGCTCACAGCCCTCGCGCCACTGTACGCCCACATGGGATCCTTCTTGCTTCCCTCCTTCTGAGTCGACTCAAAAGTCACCTTGTCACCTCCCTCCTTTAAGAACGTGCCTTGATAGCAAGCATTCCAGCCCCTTTTTCAGGCCCCTGTGTCATCCCTGTGCATTCGTTCTTGCATTGCGAGCACCTGGAGTACATCATTAAAGTCCCATCACTCCTCCTTGTAGCTGTGCATTGGCTTGTGATGTTATATTCTCTGCTACGTGCTCCTTGATATAGCATCTTAGCAAGGTCTAACATTCAACTAAAGAACATTTTAACCTTGACCATCACAGGCTGCTGCAGCACCATTGGCATGCTTGTTTTGCTTCTCTCACAACACAACCAATGCAATCTCACGCCTCACACCACCCGTGCAGGAATCTGAGCCACTCAAGCCTCACGGGCACCATCCCTGATTCCTTCACCTCGCTCTCCAACCTCATTTTCCTGTAAGCATCCAAACAAGGAAATCCTTAAGTCACACCCCAGGCAAGCTGTTCCCGTAAGCTCCCAAGCTGGGCGCTGTCATATATTCGCCCCACATCTGGTAATATCCTTTCCTCAAAATGCATCGCCAGCAGAAATCTTGCACAAATGTGCAAGGCCCGAATCATAATAACTGTTTTGGAGTGAAACATAGCCATTTATTTGTGCATGGATTTCGATCTGAAGATATCTGCAGGCTGCAGCGATTTTTCTTTGCATGGTGTTGTATTGTATGCTCTACACCAGCACCCATGTTCCTCATCTGAACGTCCCCCCGAAACTGCTCTGATCTGCACTGCAGGGATCTGAGCTACATCGGGGTGGCTGGGTCAGTGTTATGGGGCGTCAACCACCAAACCAGCACCCATGTTCCCTCTAATAACCCTCCACACTGCATCTGTCCGATCTTCGATGCAGGGATCTGAGCTACACAGGGGTGGCTGGGTCAGTGCCATGGGGCGTCAACAGCCTGGGGCAGCTGCAGGCCTTGTGAGAAACTCCATGCATACCTGCCCTGACGTTCAGTGACGATAACATTTCCAACAAGTCTGAGTCATTTAATCATGCTAATTTATGCAAGATCACATGTTACAGCTCTTCATATAAGTTCAAGCAGTGCTCTCACCTGGGTTAACCCATGTTTTTCGGTCGATGAAGCGAGAAATGGAACACCTCTTGTAAGATAGTGGTTCACTGGCATGGCACCTGCCCCATGCCTTGCCCTCACACCTTCCTACATTACCCACGCACCCTTACCTCACATGCGCCACCCCCCCTTCACACCACCAGGTACGGCACCCCCAGCATCTTCTGCAACGACAGTGCCACCTGCCCTGCCGCCTCTCCACCGCCCGACAGCCCGTTGCCCCCTGCTGCACCGCCAGCCAACTCGTCTGCGCCCAACACCACCTGCCACGTGTGCCAGAGCTACTGCCTCGGCTGCTCCTCCTCCCCCTCTGGTGCGTCTCCTACTGCTACAGCTTTTCCTCCTGTGCCGCTTTTTCCAAAATACTCATTCCATCATTCGTTGCATCCTTTCTCCCAGGAGTTCTACAGAATAATATGTGTCGATGCGTGATAGAATGAGTATCATCGGAGGAGAAGGGCCAGCCACAGCTGCTCTGCACATTCACTCCATGCTCTCCTCACTATCTTCCTTCTCTCTCTCTCCATGTGTTCTGTTCTCCCTTTTCATGCCTCCTCAGCTACGGCCATCGACTCCACCAGTGGTCTCTCCGCAGGAGCCATAGCAGGCATAGTTGTGGCGGCACTCCTTGCACTTGTCGCCCTCGCCCTCCTCCTCTGGTTCCTCTTCCGACCAACTGAACCTGGTACGTCCTTTTCCAAGTAACATGCCATGTGCTTTCTACTCTCGCATATTTTACTCTGTCTTTGCTGTCCACGCTAGTTTGGTAGCACTACTACTACACCTCCTTGTACCTGATACCCCCTTCCCCCCACCTAGCGTGCAAGCAATACTCACTGGCAGACATCCAGCAGGCCACCAACTTCTTCTCGGAGGTCAGCCTAGTGGGCTCAAATATTTGCCAACTGCCTTCCTCTATCCACACCCATTTCCCCCCACGCCTTATCCCCCCCCAGCGTGCAAGCAATACTCCCTCACTGAAATCCAGCAGGCCACCAACTTATTCTCGGAGGTCAACCTGATTGGATCGGGGGGCTTCAGCAACGTGTACAAGGGCGTGGACCCGCAAGATCCAGAGGTGCTGTGGGCTGTGAAGCGCGCCACCATGCTCTCTAATGACTTCAAGAACGAGGTGAGGGGATTGTAGGGGTGGAGGGAGGGGATTTTGGAAAGAGAGGAGGTGAGGGGAGGGCGGTGATGGGGGGAAGGGGAGGAATTTCTGGGAAAAAGAGAGTGAATGGAAGCGAAGGTTTGGCACTATGAGGCTTTTGTGATGTCCACAAAGGCATGGACTCAAAAGACCCCGAGTTGGTGAGGGCCGTCAAGCGCACCACCATACTCTTAAATGACTTCAAGAAAGAGGTATGGGGAACGGGAGAGGAAAGAGGGAGGAAGAGTTGTGGGATAGCAACCATACTATATGGCTGCAGCAACATGTACAAGGGTGTCATCCGCATGGACCCGAATTCTGTGGCCCCTCAAAAGTTGTCAGCGACATGTACAAGGGCATGCATCAGCATGGACCCGGAGGTGGTGTTGGCCTTGAATTGCGTCAGTGTGCTTTTGGATGACTTCAAGGAGGAGGTAAGGGAGTCAAATGGATTGTGGACCGGTGTGGAGCGGTGTCTACCAGTGTAGACCAGTGCGGACTGGTGCGAATCGGTGTGGGGCGGTGTGGACCGTCAAGTGCACCACGCTCTCCAACGACTTCACGTAAGTGGTGGGGAGGGGGGAGATGAGGGGGAACAAAGGCAAGAGCCTATGTGGCTAAATTGATGTGTAGAGGGTCGTGCCCACGCTGGGGTACTACAACGACTATAGTGCCTGCTCCCGCTCATGCCTTCTCCTTTCCACTTCACCTTCCTAATCCCCCACTCCCAGGTGAAAGCGATGGCGCGGCTGCAGCACCCAAGGCTGGTGCCACTGCTGGGGTATTGCATCGACTACAACGAGAGCAGCCGGCAGATGGAGCAGATCATCGTGTCTCAGTTCATGCCCAATGGGGACCTCTCACACAGGACAGGTGCAGGTGAGGTTAAGCACGCAGGCTTCCAATCAAATCACATGTGTTTTTTTCAAGCTGGCAGATGGAGCAAATCACTGTCCCAGTTCATGCCCATGGGGCCAAGCCAGGTGATGTTAGGGCAAAGCCAGGTGAGCCATGCTCTCACTCCCACACCCCTAATCCCTCATGCCCTCATCTCTCCGTTACCCCATCCTTGCACCTCCGAGGAGCCAAAGCCCTCTGACCTCACGAACCCGTAATTCTGCATGCCCTTTCATCTCCTCATGTCCATACCTCGCAGGAGCCATGCCCATCTCAAACTCCCACCCCCCTCTTCTACCCATGCCCCCGCTTGCACCTCCCAGGAGCCAAGCCCATGTCGCTGCGGCAGAGGCTGGCAGTGTTGGTGGATGTGGCGGATGGGCTGAGCTTCCTCCACAGCCGTCGGATCGTGCACCGCGATGTCAAGCCGGCCAATGTGCTGCTAGATGCCAACATGCGGGTGAGACATACGTAGATGCATACATACATACACACATACATACATACATACATACATACATACATACATACATACATACATACATACATACATACATACATACATACATACATACATACATACATACATACATACATACATACATACATACATACATACATACATACATACATACATACATACATACATACATACATACATACATACATACATACATACATACATACATACATACATACATACATACATACATACATACATACATACATACATACATACATACATACATACATACATACATACATACATACATACATACATACATACATACATACATACATACATACATACATACATACATTCATGCATGCATGCATGCATGCATGCACACACACACACACACACACACACACATACACACATACATACATACATACATACATACATACATACATACATACATACATACATACATACATACATACATACATACATACATACATACATACATACATACATACATACATACATACATACATACATACATACATACATACATACAGACAGACATACATACATACATACATACACACACACACACACAAACACACACACACATACATACACACATACATACATACATACGTACGTAGATATTCTTGTGAATCTCTTCATTCATTTCCAGATTTTCTATTCTTGTTAATAATCAAACAACCCCTTTAGTTGCTACTTTTGTTTATATCCTTGCTTACTGGTGCCTCGTCATCAATTTTCACACCGCATTCCACTGCTTCTTCTCATCCTCCCTCCCATTACACCGCCCACTCTCACAGGCGAAGGTGGCGGATTTTGGATTCATGAGGATGATGGAGGCGAGCAAAGTGAACCCCACGAGGGTGATGGGCACACCGGGCTATGTGGACCCCGAATACCATGACACGCACCTCGCCACCACCGCCACTGATGTCTACAGGTGAGCACTGTTGCCTCGTTTACCTTCAAAATTGTAGCCTGTAGCGTTCGGACATGTGGAACCGATAAGTACCCCAGCACCACCACTGACATGTACAATTGAGCAGCACCTCGAATCATTGGAGCTGTAGCTGTGGGTTCTAGTCAGCTCACGAGTCACATCTGAAGCTGCAGTAGCTGTTGGAAATGAGGTCTCGGATCTGCTCAGCTACAAGGTGACCCGACCCTTCCCCTTCCCCTTATCCTCCAGATTCAGAGTGCTGAGGCTGGAGCTGCAAACAGGTTGGGAACCCATCTCGCTCGGCTAGAAGCTGATCCACTGTATCCACTCCTCTCTCCGCAACCACACCAAACAACCTTCCCCCCCCCTCCCCCCCCCGCCTTCAGTTTTGGAGTGCTGGTGCTGGAGCTGCTGACAGGCAGGGACCCCATTCTCTCTGTTGATGGCTCTCAGTCACACATCCGGGAATGGGTGAGTCACACTCCCCTCATCTCCAGACTACCTCTGTTGTTGTCCATCGTTCACCTGTCTCTCAATATCCAACAACTCATGGCTCCAGTACTAATATTTCTCCTTGATACCCTCCTTTCAAGAGCTTCATTTAGCAACTTGCTGCTACTTATCTCTCCTCCCTCCCACCAATCCCCTCTTACATGTCCATCTCCTCCTAATCGTTTTCCCTCCTACCCCATCTGCCCACGTACAGGCGACAGCAGAGCTCTCTAGCAGTGACGTTAGCTCCATCATTGACCCGCTGATGGCCTCCCCAGCTGCCTCTACCAGTGACGTTAGCATGGTGCATGCTGACGTCATGCAGAGCCTTGCATCCCTGGCGCTGGAATGCACTGCCATGCCCGCTGCCTCGCGCCCCTCCATGGCCAAAGTGCTCTCACAGCTGAAGCAGCTACACCAGGAGGTGGTCAGGCGGGAGGGGGAGAGTGGGTTGGAGCATGGAAGCGGGTTTATAGGGGTGGATATGGGGGTGGGAGGGGTTGGAGGAGTGGGTGGGGCGGTCAAGGAGAAGTGGGAGAGCCTAGCAGATGGGCCATCAGCGGTGAGTGTGACCCCGGTGACGGCTGTGAGGGATACGACGGGCAGCTTGGAAGGGAATGAGTGCTCGAGTGCGAGTGGAAGCATTGCTGGTCATCGCACCTGAGGACCACGTTTGGAGTTTTCAAGGTGAAGATGTACATAGCTGAGGTGTTTTTTTCTACCTTCTTGATTCTAAGAACTGTATTCCCCTTTGGGTGGGGAGGAAGGGGGAGTGTTGGGGGTGGTGGCCGAGAGTGGAGTGACGGGGGTGGCTGTCACTCCCACTAACGATCCTCTGCTGCTGTGCTATGCCGCTGCCCGCCTTCTCCCTCTCCCTGCTCATTGTACAGCCGAGGGGGTGGGGTGAGGGTGTAGGGGTGGGGGTGATCAGCCAGCAGCCATCCCTCCACCTCTCCTCCTCCTTCTCCCTACCACTGCTCCTACTGCAGTGGGGGGTGGGGGTGAAGGGGTGGCAGGGGGGGGGGGGATGGGGGGGAGGGGGGGGGAGGGGGGGTGTGACCAGCCAGCTGCCAGAAGCTGCTTCACTGTGGTCCTCCTCCTCTCTCCTCTCATTTCCCCCGCCTCTCGTTTCTGCCGCACATTTCTGCTTCACTAATTGCTTGTGCTGCTTGCGGCTGCATCTGCTTGTCTGCCTCGGGCCTATCGCATGTCTGCCATGCGCCGGTTTAGTTGCTGCCTTGGCAGTCGCCGAGGGTTAGCTTCTTGCACTATTTGCTACAGGCAGTTAGGGGGTGTGTCGAACAATGTATATAAATATACAAATATATAAATATATAGATTTATAAATATAGATATGTAAATGTATAAATAGAAAAAAAATTGTTAGTAATTGCCAATAGAAATAGTTACAATCGCCATTTTGTATCACATTGTTATTAATTCTTGCCTATACCGTAACTTGTACCTCCACACAATAGTGCAACCCCTTCTTTTTGGCTAGTGGCTCGTAGGCAGAGGAGTGGACTCTGGCGAGGAGAATTGAAACCGGAAGCGCCGAAGGACCTGTTGCACCATGTGTGACTCAGTCAGAACGATGGTGTGCGCTGCTCTTTCCCGGGTGATCTACAAGCCGAGATAGCTCCACAGCTCACTTAGGCCAGTGCAGGTGTGTCTCTTCTGTAGCTCCGCCTTCACAAGGGCCAGTGCCTCAGTATTAGTAGTCGCATAGGATGTAAAACAGCGAGCAGTGCCCTAGATATCAGCCTTTTTACGTTGATTCAACGTAAAATCAGGCTTTTTTTCAACCCTACGCTGATTTCAAAGTTTTTTTGCATGTACCTTGGCTGACTTTTCAGCAGTTTTTTTTTTTAACTTTGTATGTTTTTCCAGCCTTTTTCCTTGATTGTACGCTGAAATTTTCGAGTGATAGCGCGAGAGACTCAATGTTGTATGTGCACATGTCATGATTTTCTGCTCCCCTACCCGCTCTTTTGCCTACTCTGCCCACTCTCCCTTACCCCAGACAGCCCAGATACTTTCGCTTGTCGCTCCCCCCAGCCCATTTCTTCCATACGAAACCCCCTCCCAGCCCACTTCTTACACTTAAAACTCCCCCCCAGCTCCCCAATTCCATTAGGCTCTCCTCCAGCCCGCCCACGTGCCTCTCTCACCCCTCCCCCCAGCCCACCTGTTACACTGCCCCCCTAGCCCATCTGTTTCTCTCGTCAATCCAAATCCATCCGTGAAAATTGTAACACTTCAATGATGTAATATGTACTAATGCTTCAAATCTAAACCATACACAAATAGCTTTTTCTGTACGAACGTTGGAATTTCAGCGTTTTTTTCCTAGGTAACACTGATCGTCAGCGTTTTTTGCCGTACCAAGGCTGATGGATCAGCGTGGTCCAAAATGAATCTAGGGGCCTGACAACGAGAGAGTAGAGTTCGTGCGCAGAAACAACGACGGGTTGGCAATCGAAGGAGCGAAGTCAAGAGCCGCAAGTGTCGTCTTCAGTGTGTCGTGCCACTTGCGGGGCGCGTGACGGAGACCGTTGACTAGCCGCTTGCTTTCGCTCAGTTTGTGTAGTGAGCTTGAGATCCACCCTGAGCGTTGATTTGTTGCTTCTCTTGAGTGGTGTCGTGACAATTTGTTGTGCTTGCTATCCCTCACTTAGCGTATGGGGGTGTGTCAAAACATATTTATATGCTGTTCGGTTTCTTAGGCTGCAATGAGGTAAAGAGTATAGAGTACAACTCATTTAGGGTTTCCTACTTCGATTCATTCTAACATAGATGTTCCTCAGCGACAAGCACCGCTGCTCGTCAGCTCTTTCACAAGCACACACAGCCACGTCAGAGGCTACCACTGAGTTAGCCGACACCCACCGCCATGGACGAAAATGGCCGCATTTTGCTCGCGAGTATGACGGAAAAGCATCTGGACGGAATTATGTGCCAGCTGGAAGAATCGACACTCGAAGTTACAAAATTAACAGCGGAGCGCGATTCAGCACGAGAGCAGTAAGGCCGAATGCACCAGCACAATCACCAGCACAAATTGAAGAACCAATTGTCATCTTATTGGGAACACCATCGCATAATGACAGCATGGGACACAAGCCCAATCAATAATGGTGCCACCCAATCCATGGAAGCACCGGACATGGAGCGGACCAGGGAAGCACCAGGCGTAAACACACCTCACGAAGCTCACCATCACGTCAGCATTGCGGCACCCGTCGGCAATAGAGACATTGGTGCACCGATGCCAATCAAGCCACAGAACCCGCTCTATTTTGATCCTACCCAGTGAGCACGTCTGACGGTTCAATCGTAGTTGTTCACGATGAACGTATTTTTTCACGCAAATTACATCACGTCGAATGCAGTGAAGATATGGTGCGTCGTTTCCTTACTGCTAGGGCCCACCATGGACTGATGGCAAGTTGGCCAAGTGAATACGACTCAAGGGGAGAGGCCCCTGGGGCCGACTGTCACCTAGAGTTCATTATGCAAAGTCGCCCAGTACTGGACGTGGGACGCGTGGTGCGCAAGGCTTTGGGCGTGCTTCGAGCCGATCGCGGCTTCAATCTCAACATGCCAGAGGCTACGCACTTGGTGACAGCTTGGGTCGGTTCAAGACTGTTGACGAGAATGGCCCTGCCCTCGCTTGGCTGAAACCGACTTTACAGCCGGGTGCGCGGGAGGTGTAGCCAGCTGCCTGCACTGGACAACGACAAATTGGGTGAGCAGGTCGACGAAGTTGGTCAACCTACATGCACCTGTGAAGTGGGTGCACATATGCGCTACTGTCACCTGCCGTTGCAACGCTGGATAGCCGCTTTTGCCGAGCCGCACTAATGTAGCGTTGGCAGGTTGTCAACCTGCTTGGCAGGCTGCTTCCCAGTAGTGCTAGTACACCATAGGCCTGCTTTGCTGGCAAGCCGCCCTTGTGCTGCGTTGGAGGTCGACCTGCCTGGTTGCTACGCAGCTTGGTCCTAGTTGTAGTCACCTTTTGTCATTGCACTTCCTATCATTGCGTATTAATTCTTTGCCAGTGACACATTTGCCGAATTTCAGTGAATGCGCAAGTAGAGCGAGCAAGAGCAAATGCTGCTCTCACTCGTACCACCCGTGCCTTCCCCATAGTCAAGCTTCGACCCGTGTAGAGCGACTCTCCACAAAGACTACACTAGCATTTTTCTTGCGCTATGAAAACCGGTCAGCTACATGCACGGAGTGGAGCGAGTGGATCGCTTCATCGACGGCTTGAAGCTACAAATCGCGCAAGAAACTGTCCTACGCAGGATCTCGAACCTCAACAAAATTTTGGTGCTTACCGAGAAAATCGACATCTTACAATGACCAAGGCCGAGGTCCTACCATTACGGACAACGTACACAGGGAATGACTGAACACGCCACATTTCATGCCGTTGCGATGAATGCAGCTCTCACACTAATTAAGGGGCGCTGCTTCGCATGCAACAGGCCAGGTCATAGCAAGAGCGAATGCCCAGAGGAGCTAAAGTGCCAAGGAGAAGAGCAGGGAGTCGGGGAGGCAAGGAAATGCCAGCAATCAATAGATTACGGGTCCATTATTGACGAGACTCACTGCTCGCACAACCCCACTGACCCTTACCAAATGACTGTAACGATTCACGCAATTTGTTGAATGAGGTTACAAATTGCCTAGTACTGATAAATGGAGAAGTATAGGAGACGGAGCGGCTATTCACAATTGTATTTCTGTAGCAACCGCAAGAAAATTGCGATTTGCACTTAATCGCTGCTTACCGGAGATCGATGCACTGCTGGTTGACAGCACAACATTGGAAACACGGGAGAAAATAAAAAGAGTGAACATTTGCTATAGGGGAATGTTCAGATTCACAGTATGAATTCACACTAGAAATGTTCGCGTTAAAGCTGGATGGGGTCGACATTCTACTGAGACGTGATCGGCTGCGACGTTACAACCCGCGAATTGTCTGGACGACAGACAGATGCACTATGCGAAGCGGCTGTAACTGGTTTGTGTTACCTCGCTGGGAGTCGACAGGGTCTTCAACAGTCCACGTCAATGCCATCACGATGAAACGGGCTCTCGCTTCAAGAGCTGAGTGCACGCCGTGGATCTCATGGTGGGAAATCAGAAAAGCCGAGTGATTCTAAGACACTGCTGGCACGTATAACGCCCAAACCTCAAGAGTTACTGAAACAGGTGCCCAGAGTATTTTTTTACAATTTACAAAAAGGACTGCCTCAGCGACCACATTGTGAGAATTGAGGAAGGAATGATTGCATTGAGCAGCATGAGGAGTACAAGTAGGAAACCCTAAAGTGTTGTACCCCATATGAGCTGACCAACTACAGCCTACATAGACTATAACATATAAGTTTGACACACCCCCATAGGCAAACTGGGGGAGAACAAGAGGTCACAAGACCAGTCAAGAGAAGAAAGGCAAGCTCAGGGTGGATCACAACGTCACCACACATTGTGAGCACAAGCACAAGGCCACAAGGCCAGTTCACATGCAGAGTTATATATCAAGGTGAACAAGCAAGACAGTGATCTCAACCTAGCAAGGGTAAGCATGCAAGTGCAGGTATATATAGATCACAGTACAAGCAAAGTCAAGAGGTGAGCAAGTGAGGC